GTTTGGTGAAAATAATAAATACTCCGTACTACTCCCTCCGTCCCTAATTTGATTACAAATTGCGGGTTACGGAGTAAAATTTTCTACTTTTTGAAATCATTTTATTTACAAATTGGTATATCAATAAGTTATAAAAATTACATATTAAAAAACTACGTCAAAAGTTCTACAAAATAAGAGGTGACAAGAATATTTTATTTTATCAAATACTTGATGAAATCGCGTAAACAAACAAAAGTTATCGAGAGGAGAGAGAAAAAAAAATTGTAATCAAATTGGGGACGGAGGGAGTATATTTTTAAAAAGCTTAAATTAGAACTGTACTTGGGAAGAGTATTTAGTTTAAAACAACGGTCAATTACTTCGGAAGAGTATCCTGTGATATTGTTTGCATGCACATTAGTGTCATTTAGTTTAAAACAACAACAACAATAATGCTCGGTACCTCATATTACGGTATGAGGTACCGAGCATTGTTATTGTATGAGGTACCGAGCATTATTATTAGTATGAGGTACCGAGCATTATTAAATTTACTCGTATAATTTAATTAACATGTTTTATTACTGTATTCTATGTCTTGATGAGCTGGTCAATTTTAATTTCTAGGTTAACTTTTGGCTCGAACGATACATTGGCTCAGTTCGAAAATATATTGTGTGCTTGAGAACAATAAGAAATTACAATAATTAATGAAGAGATTAAGAAGACAGAAGTTCAACAATATTCATTAAATAGTTAATGACAAATAGATAATGATACATTAATTACATCAAATGAACTTATTTATTGAAGTTGATGTCTTCTAGCTCCTTAGTCCTTGACTGCACGGGGAGGCTCATAGAAGGGCTTTTTGGAGGGGTCTATGAGGCGAACATTAGTCGCTCGATCAAAAAACCAATCGACCAATGCACTCTCAAAAGACTTGGACTTTCGTCCGGGAAACATTGGCCCTTTGTAGCCTTGCCCCGTACCAAGACTGTGCACGAAGAGGGATGTGATTAGATACCCCTTCGTGCGGCTTGGTCGGGGCAGGGCTTCGATCGTTTGCCCCCGAAAGTCTCGGAGGAGAGCCAAGTCCGCCCGGCTAACGTTGTGGTGCATGCCGCGGTCGTGCAAGGGCAGGGAGAACGTGTTCGTGACCTGGAACGAATCGAACGCCGAGTTCAAAAGGAAAAACGGCGATTTGATGTACCGAACCAGGTTTCGGGGGAAGAAACACGCCCCCGCCCCCATTTTCGCAATGCACCGTCTGGGCAACGCGTTGTCCGGACGGTGCAAGCTCACGACGTCGCCGAAGACGTCGTCAAGGAACACCGCACGCCGGGGGTCTCGGACGCGGAGGAAGAGCGAGCTGTCGGCGAGACACTTCACTCTCACACTCTCCGGGAAAAGGCGCCGGAAGCGGTCGCAGTGCACCATGACGCCGAGACCGCCGGACGAACCCCCGGCGAGGAGGACGTTGCGGGCACTTCCGAGCCCTTTCGTCATCAGCTCCTCGACGACTGCCCGGAAAATCCTCGCCCCCCGGTAGTACAGGCCCGTGGCGGGGTCAGGCTTCTCGACATTGCCGGAGAACGACCCCCCGTCACAGGACCTCACCACCACACGATTCCAATCGTGAAAATAAGAATCATGGGGGTCAGGAGACAGAAAATGAAGCCTCGAGAAATTGTAGGGCTTCATGTGGCGCGAAGAACCAACGTCGGTTTTCGCCCGGTTGGCACAGCTCTGAACGGCACCACCGGGAATTTGATGCCTGGCGGAGTTCACACACCAGCCAGCGCCTTGGATGAAAACGACCCAGTTCGTCGCCCCTGCACGGCCTTTTCCGGCGTCCCATTCGTAAGCCGGCGGGCTGCCGTCAAGGCAAACAGCGCCTTGGGATACAGCGCCGGGAAGGGTACGGACGACAGAGGAGACATTGATTGTGTGATGGAGGAGCAACAACAACACAACAGAGAGAATTATTTTGAGGAGAGAGAGAGGGGTGGTGTTTTCTGTTGCCATACTGTGCTAGCTAGCAGCGTGATTATGGATGGAGGAGAGCTAGCAAAGGCTAGTAGGTAGGTGAATTAGATTGAATTGTGGGGGTTGATGGCTTTAACTCGATCAGGGGAATATGTATATATACTGAGGTAGATGGGAGACAAACTAATAATTATGGGAATGGGGCAAATTGATCAGCGTGCACTAGCTTTTGCAGGGTATGGGCAAGAGGGTAATCCATCACATGCGTGCACTAGTTTAGGAGTAAATTTACGTTGTGTGAATTAATCCGTATGACCAAAGATGGGGTATATCGTACCCCTATCATTTTTCACGAATTACTCCGTATTGATTTAGTTTACTTTGTTTGTTTATTTTTACTACTCATTTCATAAAATAATATTATGTTATCACTTCGTGTTTTGTAGAACTTTTCATATATTTTTTTACTACATAGATTTTATATTAAAATTTTGCCCCATATTCAAATAAATTGAATTGAAAATAAAGTCTGTCAAGTCTCGTAATGCGCAATTAGAAGATCTTAGGTGGTCAGAGGAAGTATTTAAGAATATGTAAATCAAATATATATTCAAAGTATGAAAATAATGCATAAATGCGTTTTCCAAATACTCCGTATTATACAACATTCCATATTTGAATAATCCACATTGGATATATGCATTTGATTCATATATTCTACGAAACTAATATATATATATATATATATATATATATATATATATATATATATATATATATATTCAAAATATAAAAATAAGTGAAAAATAAGTGGGGGTTTAAGTCCTACATTGCGCATTACAATAACTTTTCCATTGCGCATTATGATTTTTGACTTAATTTTTTTTCAAATTATTTTATATGAAAAATGGTTTGAAATTAAAAAATATATATATATATTTAAAAAACTACTTCAAAAGATCTAAAAAACTAAGGATGACGTAACTATATTATATTATCAAATATGCATAAAAATAGATCAATAAAGTAGGACTTCAAACATATATACTTCTTGGCTTGCATCCCTAAATTAAATTATCACTCTCTTTACAATTTGAGGGTTCAAATAACGTTTGTTGTGTATGCGTTTTGATTGATATATTTTTTTATACAATAAAATTTGCATGCAAATGATCACTTGTTTTATATTACTGGTATTTTGACCCGTGCGATGCACGGGGTCGAACAATTTTTTTGTCAATTTTGAATTTTTTTCAACGTAATATATTTTTTGGAATCAAGTAAATATATTTCTAACACAGCTTTTAATCAATGGACAATAACGACAAAGTAGAATAAATAATATTTGAGGAATTGAAAGTGTACTCAAAAAAATCTTTTTTTACTCCGTAATTCAAATTTTTTTTGAAACACTTTAGGGTACACAACATTTTTAGTATAGTTGTATAAGGGTTTCTATTGTAATCTGGAACCAATATTTTTTATCATGTTTTTTTCTTTACTCGTGAAATATATATTAACATAAAGCTAATCATTAGTAAATATTGAATTGGTTAAAAATAATACATCAAAAGATAAAATTTGACCTTGACTTAAGTACTCCTTTTCACCTCAAAGAATAAGAGATACTCCCTCCGTCCCGCTATATTCGTCCACTTTTGACTTTTGGAACTGTTCATCTAAGCACTTTGACTCATCAAATTCTCTCAATGTGTAAGCCTAAATATAGTCATGTGTGATCTTGTTTGATTTGTCTTAACATATAGATTATTAATATATAATTTCTATAATTTTTTAATATACAAATTACAAGATAAAATGGATTAAAGAAGTGNCTATATTCGTCCACTTTTGACTTTTGGAACTGTTCATCTAAGCACTTTGACTCATCAAATTCTCTCAATGTGTAAGCCTAAATATAGTCATGTGTGATCTTGTTTGATTTGTCTTAACATATAGATTATTAATATATAATTTCTATAATTTTTTAATATACAAATTACAAGATAAAATGGATTAAAGAAGTGGATTGGATGCTGTGTAAAAATGAAAGTAGATAAATACTCTGGGACGGAGGTAGTATGACAAAATCACTTACCATTCAACAAACTCGAGCATAGATACTAATACCGCACTATCCTACAAAAGTATACTTTTGATGTCCTCTAATGTGTTCAGAAAAGTGAAGTTTATTATACTCTTGAGGGGATCGATAACTTGTGTCAAAATCAATAATTCATGCGGGATTTCAACATCAGTAGTTTCATCAGTCACTTGTCCAAGTTTTCCATCTCCGACTTTGATTATCTATACAGAAAAAGCTTGCGTGTTAGTTATTATTTTTTCTTATTGGGATTAAAAAATATAAAATAAAAGTCAGGATTTGGGTCACGAACTTTTCAATTTAAACTTATTAATAGTTATTATTTTTTCTTATTGGGATTAAATCAAATTAGATCAGATCAGAAATAGTTTTAAATATAACTCTATTCAAATCAAATCATAACTTCTTCTAACTCTGCGACACGTCAGCTTTTACTTTTCTTTCCCTTTCCCTTTCTCTTTTAGTGAAATGTCTTTGTCTTTTCCCCTTCACTTTTTACTTATATTTTATAACACTTATTTTAATTTATATAATTAAGATTTATATTTTTATACCTTTCCGATGTGGTTGCGACATTGGTTTTCTTTTTCTTGACGCCAAAGTAGTACCAATTTTGGCATAATAGGATAAAGTTTTTACCAACTCTATGATACGGAGTAACATTTATGGAAAAAAATTCAGCTTCATCATAAGATGACGGAGTAAAAGAATTCGACATCGAACCTGATGTGATGTATGAGACAACATTGTGGCAAGAAATATTTAAAAGAAATATGAAAAGTAAAGAAATAGTGTTTAAAACAAATGCATGGGAAGTGTGTGAAAAATATGAATTGAGTGTTGTGTTTAAATAGTGAGAATTTTGAAACATTTTCAAATTTTTCAAGAAATATTTGCACTAAATAGCAATAAAACTTAAGTCATTTATCTAAATAGCACTTAAATTATTTTATTCCCTAAATAACACTTAATAATGTCAATTAGTCATTATGTTTTAGTGCTATTTAAATAAATTCCTCATTTTTTAAACATCTAGCGGCTAATTTTCAAAAAAGAAATAACAATGGATCATAGCCAATGGAAAAAACAGGGAGGGAATCCCGCCTTTCCCGTTCCTGATGAGGGAGCAGTATTCCCGTCCAAATGCTGCCCTTCCCCTTTCTTTTCCCACTCAGCACCCCTGACGACCTTATTTATTTCTCCTAAAAGTTAAAAAAAGGAACTATTTTATGAAATGGATGGAGTAATATTGTTCTCAAACAAAGCCTTAGTCTAGTATTTCTAAAAACAAATCAGGTCCTAACGTTATTTATTTATACGAGTTATACAATATATGGTCATCAATTCGTTATATATTAATGTAGAATTAATTTTTTAAGTTATAAGAATATAAATGTCTGAATGGTTATGTGTGTGTGTATATATACATCCACAAAATATTGATTCATAGATTAATTTTTGTGTAAATTTGGTAACTTCAAAATTTCTATTTTTCTTTAGGAAATTTTGAATTGCTCTCCAAACACTTAAATATATTCTTCAACCACGAGTGATTATAATTAAGGTAAGGTCGTGATTATTGCTTTGATTATAATGCAAAGCATATATATATATATATATATATATATATATATATATATATATATATATATATATATATATATATATATATATATATATATATATATATATATATATATATATATATATATATATATATATATATATATATTATATTACATTTAAAAAATTCAAGGATAATAAAAACATAGTCATCTATTGTAATATTTCCTTCATTTAAAAAAATAAAAAAAAACACTTGATTTCTTTGTTGATCTATCCAAAAGAAAAAAAACAATCTTTTTTTTAGAGAAAGCATTAAATAGTGGCATTATTCATTTTTTATCTTCATTATGTGAAAAATTTAAATTGAGGATTTATTGAAGATACATTCTAAATGAAGCATAATTTTGTTTTTGAAAGCAGACATATATTATGTTGATTCCTCACAAGAAGATCATGACGGTTTTTGTGAACATGTTACTTTTCAAATTAATATTGTTGCATGGAGTGGTAAGTAAATGTGACCCGAAAATATATTGCAAGTGTTATGAATTGTGCCACGAAGTCAATGCATTACGATTCCATGGTTTGGACGATCCAATAGAGTTAGTAGAAGCATGCGGCACATACTGTGATATTATAATATATCCTAAATGTTATTCTGTTTCCATCAATTGTCCATGTGCGGTAGGTGACCCATACTGCCCATAATGTAGGGCTAGTAATGAAAGCCATATAAATATACCTTACGATGAATTGATGATCTATATATAGATATATTTATGAATATGTGAATTGAATATATATTCAAAATATGAAAATAATACATCAATACGTTTACTCTGAGTACTATTATGATGTTCTATATACATATGAATAATCAATATATTGAATATTTGCATTCGATTCATACATTCTATGAATCTAATATATATTCAAAATATAAAAATAATTCATCTTGTAACTCAAACACCAACTTCTACCAATACATATTCGTGAGCTTGTAATTTATATCTTTTCATGATATGGTGTCCATTCAATATAATGAATTCCTCCACATTGAGGTTCTTCTTTTTGCGGATCATATCATTTATATTTAAGTAGATCAAGTAGTCATTTTTAATATTTAATGATGATAATTAAAAAAGTTGACTGTGAAATTTTAAAGATACTCTCTTCGTCCTGATTTTAATAAAAATTATATTTTCTCTCTTCTTTTCCCGATAAATTTCGTTTATTTGTATGTTCTCATTGATTATTTGATAAAATAAAATATTCTTGTCACATCTATTTTGTAAAACTAATGACCTAATTTTTTAATATATAATTTGTATTTCTTGTTGCTATATAAATTTGTTAATAAAATAATTTTAAAAGTCATAAGATTTAGCTCGTAATTCCTTATTTGTAATATAAATTTGGAGAGAGTTTTTCTTTGTTCGGCCATTCAATTTCTTTCTTTTGCCCAATTTCCATTTAATAACTTAAGCCAAGAATGGAAAGCGGCACAAAGAAAAGCAGAGAATGAAAAGAAATAGTCGCATCATTGAAAAGAATGGCACAATGGTCAAATATGTGTTTGGTGTCTATCTCATCAATCTTTATAGAGAGGCATGTGATGTGCCCTCTCATCTTGTACTTCTATTGCCCATCTTACACGCACTTTCCACAGGTTTGTTACACCACGTTTCCATCATATTGGAAATTAATGTCATGGGATGATCTGAGGTTCCTACGGTACTCCGTTCGAAAAATTAATTATTTCTATTTCTTCTAACTCCCTGATAAACCCCCAACTCAGCCCGATCCAAACCAACTCCTCCTCCCCCGTCAATTGCACCCCACAAGATGTAGTTGACTTTGGAGTCAAATTTTAACTCCAAAGTCAACTAAATCTTGTGCGTGCAATTGACAGGGGAGGTGTGGTGGGTTCGGGTCAGGGCGAGTTGGGGGGTTTACTGAGAAGATTACGAGGCGTAGGAACAATCAAGTTTTTGAACGGAGCACTGTAAAGACCTCAAACGGAGCTCATGTTATAGGATGACATTAGGCAGGCGCGGATCCACTCTACATCTAATGGGGGCACTTGCCCCCAATGAAATTTTGTTTTTATTTTATTAACATTAAAAATTCCCTAAAAATTAATATTGCCCCCAATAAAAAAATAATTGGCCCCCCACTGAAAAAAATGTTCAAATAGAAAAATGAATTATTTAGACTTTTTTGAAATGAATAGATTATTTAAACTAAAAATAAAAGAATTTCAAAATGAAAATTAAATTATAATATTAACTAGAAGATAATTTAAGATGTGTGACTGAAAATATTTTCAAAGCATTTATATGAAAATTATTTAAAAAAAGATCTGCAAAACTAATAGTGACAGGATTATATATTATTTTATCAAATGACACCTAAAAATAAAAAAAAAGTGAATAAAGTTTGATAATGTGAATAATAAACATACAATATAATTTGAGGTAGAAGGGGCATAAAGTAATGGTGTAAAATGTGAAATTTGTATGAACGTGATTTCACTGTTGAATTTTGGAATACTATCTAAAAATTAGGGTTAGTTCCTACGAAATTGGAAATTAATGTCATTGGATGACCCAAGAGTACTCCGGTGCTTCGTTCGTAAAATTAACAGTTCCCACCACTCTCCTAACCCCAGTAAACCCTCCCGCCCCGTCCCAACCCAAACACCCCTCCCCCCCCTTCAATTGCACCCTCCAAGTTAAGTTTGACTTCGGAGTCAAAATTTGACTCCAAAGTCAAAATTAACATGGGGTGCAATTGAAGGGGGTGTGGGGTGTGTTCGGGTCAACACAGGGTGGGGGAGTTTATCGGGGATTAGGGAGTAGAAATCGTCAATCTTACAAACCGAACATTAGAGTACACCGAGTCATATCCCATGACAAATGTCATGGAAACGAAAGGCTTAAAATTATGTATTTTTCAGAATGTTTAGTTAAACTATTCTTTTTAAAAAAAGGGTCGCACCATCATTAATGTTTTGTGGTGCATCAAATAAAAAATGGTTTATGATGGTTCTTTCACTTCTTTGATTCACATCCGGTAAGAATAGAGATCTATGTGATCATAGACAGATTAATCTACAGGTTAACATTGCTCTCTTAGCCTGTATCTGCAGGTTGAAAATGAACTCAATCAAATCATAATTTATTTGTATTTTTTAATATTTCTAAATTTGTATTCAAATACTAATTTTAAATGGAATTTGTATTTAATTTATCTAATTGAGACAAAGTATAACATTTGATGCATATTACTATTCTCATGGCGCACTACCAAATTGGCGATCTGGGGATTTATAAGGATTAGACATCTAGGAACCATCAACTATACAAACGAAA